GACAATGGGCAAGTTAACCCGAACAGACTCCAAGTTGCATTTTATAACTGGACGACAAAGGAGATCAGAACGTATCAAATCTTAAAGTTATACTCTTCTGGATGGGGTCCCGGTGATCATAATCAAAGTCATGGTGCAGCTGTTACAATATTTCCTTCTGCATTAAGGAAAGGAAGAAGAACTGATGGAAAACACAGGAGAATTACCAGCAGAAGATAATCTCACCTGGACTGTGTGTAAAATTCCACACGTGAGGCAGGTGATACACAATAAAGCCTCTTCGAGAGCCCCCCTCATCGAGGCAGAAGTAGGGGGCCTCCTTTCTTTCAAGTGCGACATTCCTTCCTTCAGGCAAAATTTGTTGGGGGCCACCTGGTGGGTGTTCTTAAAGGTAGCCAAAGGTGGGGATACCATTATCTCACAAACTCATTTTTTTCTTCACTCTGACATGATACATTTTCCCCAAGCAGCAAGCAATGAAAGAGGAAAAACTACTCCTACCAGAAATCTTAACTGATGGTTTCAAATTAAGCCCCAGGTGAAATACAACTTTAGAGCCACAGATTCCCCACCCTTGATCTAAAAAAGAATGGGGCATCGTACATTCTGAACATAAAGTACCGGATTATTTTTGGTACATAATATATTTAATGCTGAAATATACAGGTAAAGCATTGCAACTGGCATATATTCCCTGCTTACAAGGTATGGATAATTAAGAAGCATTATTCCCTTCTTAAAAAATTAACCATGTATCAATTAAACCAAAGCCTCAAAGAAATTTACTAGATTTTCATCTCAACTTGTTTATTCTTCTTTTTTTAATCATGACCTGGTTTTTATTTTAGAACCACCAAAGTAACACTGAAATGATGTTTATAGACAGTAGATGCTTCCCTCTTTCTATCAAATGTATTTTAATTAACAGACAAAATTGTAGCCATATTTATATTTTCTTACGGTCATGCATTATGACTACTTGATAAATTGAAGTTTAATTTCATGTTGATTTTCTCACACATCCAAGCTCAAAGAGTCTGAGCCTGGAATATGTACACCAAAAGCATATTCATATTTAAAAAGTGAATTTAAAATACATAGGTGAAAATCTAAGTGAGAAAATATCTCAGTATTTTGTGGGTCTCTACCCAAGATATGTATGTTGGGATGCTAGAATCTGAAAAAATGGATAAAAATGGCAGGTCTTTGTCACACTTCAGCAATGAAGCTAAATCTGCAAGAATGTTGTTCAGTCGTTAAGTCGTGTCTGATTCTTCGTGACCCCGTAAAATTGACCCCATGAAAACCCCATGGACAGTGTCAACCCCTTCATGGATCACTGCCTTGTCATGGCGAAGGGGCTTGCGTAACTCAGTGAAGTCATGAGCTATACCGTGCAGGGCCACCCAAG